GGAGACATCTAGACACAAACCAAAATACACAGATCCCACTCGTCCTGTGCTTACCCCTGGAGGCTGGTCTCGGGAAAACATGCCCCACGTGTGCCAGTTCAGGTCTCTCCGAAAGGCTGTGTGCTCCGTTTCCCCAAAGCCATAGATGTAGGAGGAGGGCAGGCGGGTGGAGATGCGGAGGAACATGTCATTGAAGATGAAGCCCAGGACCTGCGAGTCCCAACTGTAAAGCAAAGGGTAGTTTTGGAAAGAAATTTAGATTTCCTACTGGCTTCAAGAACCTAACTTTCAAGGTGACAGGAAATTAACAACGGTTGCTGTGTTACATATTGATAACTTCAAAGTGGTTACTCAGGAAAATAAATATATACATGCAAGATTGATCAAATAATTAATCATTAACTGTGCTTTTCAATAAAGTGATATAATTCAGTGGTACAACTCTGTTAGCTATCCTGTATATACATAAATACAGAGTTTCCCCTTCTTTCTTTTCTCTTTTCCCTCATCCCACTTGCTTTTTACTTTTGAGCAGTTTCCTTTCATTTCAAAATGTCCATCATACTTCCTATTTTTATTCACTCTTTCAGGTTCTTACACTAATGAGACAATATGTTGCTTACACATGCAGATCTGATTTATTTCACTTATAGGTATGGTTGTGACCATTTTTAATTCAGTATTGCTTGTATTGTTCTTGTGCTATTTTGTAAATAGATGTCTGATTGTTAATATGTTTTTGTTCTTTTATCTTTAAAATGAAAGAAAAAGAACCTGACTTCTAAAAATAACAGAACTGTTGCTTCCCTCCCACCACTAGATCCTGATCATCTCTCAAACAAAACACAAAATCTACATACTTGCTTAGAATAAACACAGAAATCCCTGCTGCAAGCCCAGGAGTCAGCCGTCACTCACTAATTTTCTGAATCACCGCCTCCTTTCTCTGTGCCTTCCACACCAGCCCAGTCACTTCCCGCCATCTCACCTGCCACTTTCCATGCCAGACCCACCTTCCACACTTCCTCCTCAATGCCCGACCACCCTCAGGTATGCAGAGCATCTCACATCATGTCACTCCTCTGGTGACATTTTTCAACGACTTCGCATGAAAACAATATGTAAAGACATTAGGGCTGCATCTGATCTGAGTTCGTCTAACATCGCAACTTCATCTCTACTACTCCCTTTTCCAAGTATTACATCGGTCTTCTATTTTTTGACATGTCAACTCTCCTCCTGTTTCATGGCCTATGCATTTATTAATCACTCTATTTAAAATTATTAAAGGCATCTGTACTGAATTCACAGGAACATGTAAATGCCTCACCAACAATTGTCACTTCTGATTAGAACAGACCTGAAGGAAATAACTTATTCATGGATTCAGAAATGGAAAGTGTCATGCTTTGAGCCAGAACAGTATCTACAAGGACATATAAGTAACCAGAAAATCCAAATCAGACTAGAAAACACTTACATTATAGTGCCTGTACTCTTCCGGCGAATCACAATACCAAATGGATTCTTTGTAATGAGGACATCATAGAGCTGGCTCTTAGCGGTGCTAGATGGAACCTTGGGTATGTTCAGAGGGATTGGGACTTCATAACGATTGTTGTTGGGGTCATAAATCTAGGAGAAGAAATAGATTTTAGGTAAGGATAGAAATGGGGAATAAGGGATGGGGATATAGCTCAGCAGCATAAGTGCCTGCCTGCCTGGCAAGTGCAAGGTCTTGGGTTTGATTCCTGGAACCCCAGCCCCCAAAAACAGAATAGAAAAGAAAAAAGAAATGGGGAATAAGTTCAATATTCAGATTTGACTATAGTTAATATTTTAACATAGAACTAAAGATAGCTAAAAATGATGGATTTCAATATTCTCATAACAAAGAAATGAGAAATATCTGAGATGATAAAGGACGTAAGTATTCTAAATTGACTAATTCACAATGCATAAGTGTATCAAAACAATATACTGTTCACCGTAAGAAGTGCAGCTATTGTTGTCAATGGAAAAATCTTTTAGTCAGGGCTAATGCTTTTGATATCTATACCCTTAGCAGACCCTTGACTTCCCTAACAAAGCATCTAGATGGGATATTTCTCATCTTTTGTAAGCATCCAATATCTAGCATGTAATCAACATAGCAAAAAACAATATTAGACTTAGCATTTTGTGGTGTATCTGTCAAACCTTATTTTTAAGGCCTCTAAGACAGCAGTACATTCATCCCACATTGGTACTAAGTTGAAAATTCTTTCAAAAATCAGTGCCACGTTTCTGAATATTTTCTTCAGTTTTGTGTATGTGCATAAAGAAGTGTTGTGAGCATCTGAAAACTATTTGGAATTATGAAATGATTCCCTCCAAAAAACATGAACTATTTTGCTAAAAATATCATAGATTTCCTTGCTGAAAATGATATATACACTGATCCACTAAGTATGTATGATAATGCTTCCTTATACTATTCTAGACACTAGAAATATGAATTGAAAACTCCAAGATTATCAATTTGAGAAATTCACATCCTAATGGGAAGTGAAAGAGACATTTACAACACTGGTATGGTGTGAGTTAAGGCAGAGCTATGTAGAAATACTGTGATACTAAAGACAAGGAAATGCTTAACATTTTCTAGCACACTGAGAGAGTCTCATGTGAGAAATAGAGACTGAGGCTTCAAACTTCTGTAAGCATTAACCAAGGATGGAATCAAGATCAACTTATTTTCATAAGGAAACAAGACACACAAGGCCCTGAACACTGAAAAGGACTCCCAAAGATGCCCACATTAGAGACAGCTACAGTACTATACTACCAAAAGGAAGGGTAAATTGGAGTTCAGAATACAAATCCAATCAACTTCAATCATTTTAACCCATTAGATGCCCGTCTCAGGCCATAGCTCTAGTGAGAACACAAACAGAACAGCAGTCCCTCACCTATGCCACATAGCGGGAAGGTGCCTCACTTTTATCTCCAGGTCTCATTCTTGAAAACAGGTCCTCAGAGTAGACATCACAATCCCTTTAAATGTAAACTAGAGCAGATCTTACCATTCTATCAATGATTTCCACTACTCTTTGGATTAAGATAAAAATAAAGTCTATTAGCCTGAAATTTGAAACTTATTTAATAGATTTGAACCTTCACTAGCAAATAATAGGGAGACAGAAAAGGGCTGAGTCAGTAGCTGACACATAAACCATGTTTACCTTGAACTGCAGCATTTCATCCTTATGGTAGGTCACCTGCAGGCGGAGGGGGCTCACGGGAGTGGAGGGGAAGGCGTTGGTGTAAAGAGAAGACTTTAAGGAGATCTCAGCGCTGGCTCCATGGGAGTCATACTGAACATTGCTGACCGAGTACAAATCGTTGACAAAATAACAATAAGGGACCCCAGGAGAACTGGATTCCTGCAAAGTAAATTTAATATCCTAGTCAGCATGTCTTCCTGAAAGACTTGGAAAAGGCAAATAACATGGAGATGAAGTCACAACACTTATTCACTATATATCATTTGGTAGTATAAAAATTTTAAAATACTGATCTCCAAACAGAATACTTCAAAAAGCACAATTACTATGCTTGCTGAGTCTCACATCCATATCCACTTTCTTTGGAACCCATTTTTTTTATCTCCACTGTAAGTTGGTAGATAGATTCACATACTGTGCTCATGACAGTAGAGGACAGTAGAGGATTTCCATGAGCACTAATGCCACCAGCATGCTTACCTCCCAGACGCAGCCACGGGCAATGCAGTTCGCTTCAGAAGAGCCATGCTCATCAGGGTAACAGTCTATTTTTTCTTCATCCCTTATGTTTGTGCTCCACTCCACTGTGTATGCTTCTCCCAGGACAAGATTAATTTCTGAGATAATGGCAACCTGTAAGAATGGAGAAGTCACAGTGAAAGTCATGCTCAGAAAAATGTCTTGCAAATCTGAAATATTTAAGCCAACAAGTAGACATCAGTTGAGAGTCTATGAGACTTATATGTGACTGCAGTTTATATGAAGAAAGTTTTACATATGATCAGTGATCTCCTTCATAGCAACAAGACAAATGTCACTACATTGAAATCTTGTACATTATACTGTGGAAAGCATTTGGTTAAATAAAACCTATTGTGATAACCATTTTGATTTGTGTCCATAATTCCTCATCCTCGCCATTATTTTTAAAGAAAGGATCTGTCCTACTCTCCAAGATTATCTCATGTTGTTGTTCTGCACTCCCCAAACCAGTTCTCCTCATTGGTCTGCAGTGACAGGAGAAACAGTATGTAAGAATTGCATGACCTGGAGGCTCACTGCCATTTTCCTGTGGGATCTTAGGCTATTTCTTTCAAATATTTATGTTCTGTTTTTATCAACTTCCAAAGTAGTAAGTTCTATAGAGCATAACATCTCCTTACATTTCTAACGTCCAAGGATCTTCATTTCTCCAGCCTACACACTCCAGCTTTTAAATCCTTTCTGAATCCCAATCACCAATTCAAAATTCACATTTTTCTGCACTTTAGTCTTACATTGCACTCATACTGAAATAGAACTTTCTGCACCTGACACTGTCATTTTTCTGCAGCAATAAGATCATGTTTGAAAGATAACCATTCTTCTCCCAGTCTCTTCACAAGCTGAATCATGTTCTACTTTCCTGTCCTACTAAACCCCATCCTGCTGCAATCCTCCAGCAAACCTAGTATCAGGCATGATTAGGAGACATGGAAAGAATTAAATCAAGTATATGTTTCTCACTCTGGCACCTCAAATACTCCACAAATTTCCTACCGGACAAACAAATCTCCTTCTAAAATGCAGCTAAATTTGTTATAAAAGATTCACAGACTGACAATATAAACTTACTCCAAGTCCTTAGACTGGCTTACTCTGATATTTCAACTTAGAATGCTTTATCAAATACTCATTTCTAGGAAAATGGAGCCCATTTCAGGACACACTACTCTTTGCTTCCCCTATATAACACATTCCAAACTTCATAATCAGTAGCTAAATTTTTAATCAATGGAGCATAGGTATGACCATGAAAAGGTAAATTCAAGCTGAGAGTTGTTAGCCAGATGTTTCTTTCTTTATATGAAGACATGCCTCTGCAACTTTGTCTCTTGCATCTGCTTGCATTTTTCAAACATTTGGCCTAGAACACAGGCATGGACAATTAAAATATCCAGCCACTTCGAATCAAGACACAAAAAGACCTCAGTTTTGATCACCCTGAGCCTGTGAATCCATACCAGCATCTCTCTTCTACACTTCTAAAAAGGAAAGAAAAAAACCCCAATTTGTTACACTTGGGATGTTCTCTCACTTGGAACTGACGAACTCCTGTATGATATGTCCTTTTTCAAAGCCCAGCTCTAGGCTTGCCTTCTCCAAGAAACTAGGCTCAAATATTCCACGCAGCTTTTAACATCAACTAATATGTAAATTACTATCTCCTAAATGTTAGTGTGGGTTCCCTGACTCCTTTCTGTCACTTTTATGTGTATAGGTTATGTCTCCTCCAAACTCAACAAAGATTTACTTTGGTCTTATGTTAATTAATTTATTTGGCAGGGATTGCACTTGTTTTCACATATGCATTTTTTAAATGGCCTGCTCTTGGCAACATATGTAAAAACTCACATATGATTTATTTCTAGCATTATAATGGATGCATCTTCAATATGTTTTCTCAGGAAAAATGTCAAATGTCATCAACCTGCCATCACACTAGAAGCATAAATTGCCTTATTTTCCAGAAATTTCTAAAGCCTCTCACAAACAAATCTCCCGTAGCAGGAATCCCTGTAGTACTTTTGATCAGGATTATTGGGAGTAAAGATTTCTTATAATGCTAAGGAATTAGAGGAACTGATTACAACCTCTCAAGAGAGTCAGGTCTCATTACAACTCATTAACATTTATTTTATCACGATCTAATCAAATGAGGATTCATTTAATAGGATCATATATTCTTTATCTTAATATATTTAATCAGAATGTGTGTTGGAGTCAGTCTCAAAATACAGGTCAAAAAACAAACAAACAAAGAAAACAGGCCCTTCAAAATTTTCATTCAAGGGACTCCTACAGCCCAACTTAGCAATAGTTATAAGTTTCCAGATGTCTTTTCCTCTGATCCTGTCCCCCACTTCCCTCACTGGTCTTCTTGTGTGCTTCATCTATTTCTCTAAAGCTGAAATCAGTGAACAGAGCAGAACACTGAGGTGCAGAGAAGACAGTGAGGATGGAAAAACCATTCCTCACTAGCTCTGCAATTCATTCTGTCTGGCTATCTCCTCATTCCCATTTTCTGTCCCAACACACTGACTCAGAACTCACAGTGATCTCTGATTCTTTGGGAACACATGCAATCTTAGCATGAAAAGACACCATGATGCCATACAGAATACTGAAATAAACACCTCAACAAAATGGACTTTTACCTTCAAATTAGGATCATAAGTGACGTTAGGAGAAGCTTGAATCAGGACACCATTGTGTTTCACGGTAACATTGGCAGGTTCCTCTGTCCCGAGTATTCTAATCTCCTGAAATGCTAAGTTATTGGGGTCTTGGTAGGCTGACTGAGAAATTGTCACATCCAAGCGGTTCTGCAAAACAATTAAGCACAGGGAAGCACAAGGTTTGCCTGTAAGACACACATTCTCCTGTATACTCATACAAATGCTACACCCAGGACCAGATACTTCCCCCAGCTCTGAAAGCTACAGATTTTGCTACTAATGCATGCTCAAGGAGCATAAGCTTCCTTGAATTGAACTAATCAGAAAAAAATCAGCAATATGCAGATAGACAATTGGGAAAACTTTATTTAGAAAGACTAGCTGCTTTGATTTGTCAATATTAGGGCCTGCCCTGATTGAACACACAATGCAACTACTAGGACTTAAATCTAAATGAAAATGTGTTCAACTAGAGTTGTGAATCTCAATGAAGTTGAATACACAATCACACACATCCACAAGCACAAATGTGCTATTGGTCAGATGAAAACCCACACTTAAGATTCGTAGAAATGCGGTACTCACTTGGGTGGCAGAAAACTCACACAAAAGGTAAACATTATTGGCCACAGTATCTGAAAGCAGAAAAAAGGCAACTCAGACTCCCTGCCCACCACAGCACAAATCTCACCTGTCTCTCCTTAAAGCTGACCCTGCCTCCCTGAATGCAGGAGTTCCTTCCTTTGAATGACTGAATGACATTCTATTGTATATCTACCACAATTTCTTTATTCATTTATCAGTAAGTGGAAACACGGACTGGTTCTGGATCTTGGCCTTTATGAATAACACTGCAGTGAACACGGGAGTGCACCAATCTCTCTGATAGACTGACTGCATTTTTTGGATATACACTAGAAATCGGATGGCTGGATCATATATTTCTATCTTAATATTTTAAGAAACTTTTACATTGTTTTACATGATTGCTAAATAAATTTATATTTCTTCCAAGTGTTTGTTCCATTTCTCTACACTCTTGATAACACTGCAATATCTTATCTTTTTCACAGTAATCATCCTAACAGTTCTGAGGTTGTACCTCCTTGCCATTTTGAACCCGTTTCACTGCTATTTAGTAATGATCAACACATTTTCAGACACCTGTCAGCCAGCTGTACGTCTTCTTTGGAAAGATATCACTTAAATGCTTTCCCGTTTTTAAGTTACAATTTTTGTGCTCTTCCAAATGAGTTTTAAGTGTTCCCAACATTTTTTACATTAACCATTTTATCAGATATGTGGTTTAGATGTACTTTCTCTAATTCCATGGGTGTTCTTTTGACTTTGATGTTTTCCTTTTTTAGGAAGAACGTTTGAATTTGGATGTAGTAAGGTTTCTTTGTTTTTTGTTTTTGTTGCCTCTGCTATACATGTCATAAAGAAGCATTGACAAGACCAATTCCAAGGAAAACTTCCCCATGTATCTAGGAGCTTTATAGCTTCAATCCTTACATTTCAGTTTTCAATCCAGTTTTTACAGTAACTAAGATGTGGAAATAACCAAAGCATATATTAGCAGACAAACAGAAAAACTGGCACATGCATAGAGAGGAGTATTATTCAGCCATATAAATAAGCAAAGCCTACCATTTATGGTAATGTGGATAAAGATGGCTCACATTATACCAAGTGAAATATGGGAAGAAAAATTGAACACTACATGATTTTGTTTATATATGTACTCTGTAAAAAGTTGAACTAAGATAGGCATATGGTAGAGCAGTGGTTGCAACAGACTAAAAACTAAAAAAAATAGGAAATATATGTACAAATTTCAATTACATGAAGTACAAATTTTGGAAATTAATGTACAGCATGGGTGTTGGTAGATGTGTTAACTAATTGGATTGTGGCAATCATTACACACAATATATGTATGTGTTGTACACCTTAAATATGACCAAACTTGGTAGATTACACATCTTCATAAAAAATAAATAAGTTCTTAAAAGTAAAATCTTGAGGAAAACAAGACTATGAACACAGTCTCCTAGACCAAAACCTATTTTTTCCTTCTCTTTTACTATACCTTTAAAAATATTTCCTTCCACAGCCCCCCGCGCCTTGCGCCCAGGCAGCCAGTTCTCCGGGAGCGGCAGCGCTCCTGGGTCCGAGTGTGGGCCGGACTCATACCACCGCGATT